CCACCAGGGAGGGCCCTCTCCTTCTCCCCTTTTTAGGAATCTCCACTCCCCGACGCCTTCCCACCTTAGGGTCCTGTCTGTCTTGCCTCCAGACACCTCAAATAGTTAGAGCTGGTCTCCAACAGTTCCATTTTTCACTGGGAGGACCAATCTTATCTAATAAATATAAAGGAAGAAAGAAACGTATTTTCTTTCTTTTTGATAAGTCTCAGGAGAAGGAAAGCACAGATTAATTTCCAGTGAGATGTCTGGAGCCTCTTCCCACATGACCTCCAGAGGGCGATGTTCTTGGCGTCTTTCCCTCACTCCTTCCTGCACCCAGCCTCCTGAAGCACCCTCCTGACTTTGAGTTCAGAGACCAGTGAGAGACACAAAAGTCAGAAGCCAGGCACGATGACCTCAGCAATGTTTGTACTTTCTCCTAAACAACGGACTTGTCTACTTCTGAGAGCTGAATCCCACAGCAGTTTTCCTGTCTGGTTATTGAAGACCTTCCAGAGAGATTCCCGGGTATTTCCTCTGCTCATCCATGCTGCTGTTGCTCACCCCAGTGCTGGGAATGCTTCTAGCCTTGAGTAAATAATATAGGATTTGTGCCTAGTTCTACAGAAGTAACTGTTTACTTATTCATTTTAGTAAAAACTTGTCTCATAGTCAAGTCTGTGCAGCTTGCTTTGATACTGTGTTCATTTTGTAGGAGACTCGAGAGCTCAGTCGGTGACCCAGCGGGAGTCTGGCGTCTTGGTTCTCTGAAGGAGCCTCACTGGAACTGAGGTGCAGCTATTCATATGTTGGGGACCCTAATCGCTTCTGGTACATCCAGTACCCCAACCAAGGACTCCAGCTTCTTCTCAGTTATTTTTCATTAGGCACTTTGGGTAAAGCCATCAAAGATCTTGAGGCTGAATTCAACAAGGCAGAATCTTCCTTCAACCTGAGGAAACGCTTTGCTCATTGAAGAGACTAAGGTGAGTATTTTTGTGCTAGGAATGGCACAGTGCTGGGAACCAAGGGGGAGCTGGCACAAACTCTGTGAGATGATAGGGAGGATTTTGAACTCTGACACAGTGGAGGTCACTTTGTTCTTTTTAAATGGTGTGAAGATGTCCAAGGACTTGATGAGTCAGCACGAACACCACCTGTGTTGGGAGCTTTCTTTTTCTCTTCAATCTTATATACATACATACATACATATATAAATTTATATATATTATACATATATTTATTTTTTTTTTACATAATTCTTCATTTGGTGCGTTTTTTAGCTAACTTGTAATTCCAATGGGTTTCCCACCATCAAATCACCTGTGTGCCATCACCATAGTCCAGTGGACTCTTCTCACCCCCGTCCTGATTGTGTTGGGATCTTTCTAAGAGAAATTTTACCCTTGCTGTGAAAATTTTCAGGCACTCAATAGACATGTCTTTGCTAACCCTAGAAGCTGAGGTTGAACTCATTCTCTTGTCTTTTGAAATAAATCCATACTATCTGAACATAATTTTGTTGAACTGTATTGGTCAATAACATTGACAGATGGACTTATGCACAGAGCATAAGTGAGGCAAAATTTCCATTAAAAGCCTAATATCTTGGCCCTCCCTGGTGGC